GTTGATCTTGAAGTTAGCCTCTCTCAGCTTCTCCATGAACATCTAGATGTGTATAAGAGACAGACCTACCTCCTCCTTCCCCCACCCCGTACCGTACTCTCCGCACCCCCATCTCTCCCCAAACCCCTGCCTACTCCCCCCACTCCCCCTGCTATCCCCACCTCTTGCTCCCCCTCTCCTCCCTCTCTTCTTTTCTTTCTTTCCCCCCCCTTTCTTGTGCGCTACCGTCTTCACCCGAATAGAACGCCCGGTCATTATAGCCGTATCTGGTGCAATTTTCAGTCCAGATACGACGATAATTACCGGGCGCTCCATTCGGGTGAAGACGGTAGTTGTCATTTCTGTCCATAAGGCAGGATAGAGAGAGAAGCGCACCCTGCAAAACGCTCTCTTTTTTCTTTTTTTTTTTATGCGCTTTTTTTCCTGGCATTATATCTGAATGAAGCTTATTATTGTTATTATTATTATTATTTTTTGAATGATGCAACAACAGGAAGAAGCCGGGGGCGGGCTCGTCTTCTGGCACCCGAAGGGTGCAATTATGCGGCACTTAATAGAGGATTATTGGAAGAGTGTGCATTTGCGAGAAGGCTACGAGCTCATATACAGTCCTCATGTGGCGAAACTTGATCTGTGGAAGACCAGCGGGCACTTTGACTTCTACAGAGAAAACATGTTTGACCAGATGCAGATCGAAAATGAGAGTTATCAGTTGCGACCGATGAATTGCCCATTTCACATTACCGTATATAAAGACGGCATGCACTCGTACAGGGACCTTCCATTCCGATGGGCAGAGCTTGGCACAGTGTATAGATACGAGAAATCCGGGACCATGCATGGACTCTTCCGTGTGCGGGGATTCACCCAGGTACAGTACTCATACACTCTCTTGTTTTCTCCCCTCTCGGTCTCTCTCTCTCTCTCTCTCTCTCTCTCTCTCTCTCTCTCTCTCTCTCTCTCTCTCTCTCTCTCGCGCGCGCGCTCGCTCACTCAGGTACACATGCTCTCACTCGGTCGTTCAAACACTGATCTTCTTCAGATACAAATGCTTCCTGGAATCCCGACCACTGCACAGTGATGACATGAGCGTGCAGAGTCGTGTGTGCAAGAGAGAGAGAGAGAGAGAGAGAGAGAGAGAGAGAGAGAGAGAGAGAGAGAGAGAGAGAGAGAGAGAGAGAGAGAGAGAGA